CAATCCTACGTTAAGCATGACAATAGCACCCTATTTGAGAGGTAAACAAAAGACACCAATAAGAGGGAGCTTCAGTCCAATTCCTTTTGCGCTTTTACTTCTCCAAAGAACAAAGAAGATGAACTAAGATGATCAGAAAGGTTGATGAAGAGCAAACCGACTGAGTAACTCACCATCCCGGGCATGCAGTGTGGTGAAGTGTGACCATCACTTCATCTAAGGTTGTTTCAACCTTGGAGATCTGCAGCCACCCTGGCTCTTCCAGTATGGCTAAAAGTAAAAGCAGATACACGAAAAAGATATGTTTGAAATACCCGCAACCTCATAAAATGGAACAGAAAAAGTGGTGAGATGATCGAAACAGCATGATGGAAATGAACATAGGAAAAACCCAAAAACTGGTGGAAATAACATGGCTTTTGCTTAGGAAAATCACTAAGGAAAAACTTGACACCAACCTGCGTAAGTTCGTTGTTCAGTGATTCGAATAAACGCACTTGGCCGAAATGTATTTACGTCAACGGCGAAAGACGAAACAAAAACGAAGACAAATAAGCCGAAAACGTCCTCGCTGTCCACTTTGAATAAACTGTGGAAACAGCTAAAACATCTCCCATACCTGCAAAACATGAAGCAAAATTGAACACTAGATAAGCAAATCGGCTTTTGCAAAAGAGGAAAAGCGCTTCAAATACACAACAAATGTTCAGAAATAAAGGGAGAGAATCTCGGTCTCGTTCCCCCACTCTATAGCACTCTACAGTAAGAAGAGAGGGCATGACTAGGAAAATTGAAGGAATAATTCGCAATTTCATCGAAAAAACGAGATTGATCCGATCTCCCAGCACGAGTGCCCGATCGCGCGAGATCGGGCTTTCCTGCCCGTCCGGGTTGGGCGCCCTCGAGTTTCATACATCATGGGTCGGGCGCCAGCTCCCGGCAGGGCGCTCATTTCCAATGGTTAAGGAGCGCCCGGGCGCGGTTCGGGAGATTGATACATACCGGCCCAGGAAAGCTCCCAAACGGCCCCCTCTTAATCCTCTCCACCTCCGGAACCTCAGAGTGTGACACTCTGGAGAAGACGAGTCTTTGCTGCAGAGTTTTTGCATTTTAGGAGACTGTATGATCGCTTTTCTGTGATTGCACATTACAAGTACACGCAATTTGACAGCGATTTTGATGTGAATTGTGAATTGCCCTATTAAACGAGCCAGAATTTCCTCAGGGGTGGAGTGTTTCGCTCCAAATTTTCAATGACGCAAGAGGAGGCTATGAGCTCAATACTCATACTAGGAATGGACTGATTTCTGAATTTTGAAGACAAGTTAAGTGGGTCAGGCGCAAGGCTACAAAAGCTCAGGCGGCCTGACCTTTTGAGGGGTTGCGCCCGACCCCATTAACTTTACCTTCGAAGACGCTTTTTCACCCAAGTTTTGTAATTCGCTAGCACAAACCTCGAACAATCTACAACAGGAGTTTGAGCTTAGCTCGACTTGTTTCGGCTTTGTGGTAATCCGCGGAGTTGACGCGCTTAAGGTGAAAAACGGATGTTTGGAATATTGGCAGTACTTCCTAATCCACTATTTGGAAGCGATAAAAATTCTAATTTCTAGTATAGACTGATAGGGAACATTACTTTGTTATGAATACAAAAAACTGACTTTTTTCACTTTTAAAACCAAGTTAATCATGTTTGAATTCCAGGTTTTTTAGACGATAAACGCTAGAAAATGTAACAGGTAATGGTTTGTAGTGCTAGTAGAGGTGATTTGATATGCTAACAACGGAAACTATATTCAATTTAAACAACAAGCTTCTTTGTAGATTTCAGTAGTGTCAGGTAAGGGATGGAGAATTGAAATTTGGCTGAAACTTCGATGGAGTTAATCAGTACGCTGGTCACGACAGTCATTCCTTCAATTCCACTGGGGTTGTGATATGCATAGGTCTAAAGCTTTTCTTCTTCACCTTCCTCGATCGTATACTTCCTTAGCTTTGAGCGAATTCGATTTTGATTACGACCTCCCCCCCCCCCCCTCAGTCTTACTACCAATACAACTCTTCAGAACGGGTGCGCCTGACTCAACCCTGGTTATAACGGAATGCATTTTGTGAACATTTAGCAAGAACTTTTAGGTTCATGGAACTGCAGGTGAAGTAATTTTGCATTTGCTGAGCTTTAGCAACTCATTGGTCAATCAGTGAAGTGTTTTACACTCCATAACATCATCCGTACATACTTTACGAAAAGAAGAAACGTCTGGCTCATACTGGCCACAAAAGGAACGGCCTTCTTCATTGATTAAAGAGCAGGCAATGCGTGCGGCTTTTGGGGTTTCAAGTCATAAAAACTGCTATCAAAGATTGCCAAAACAACCAAACAAAGGAGCTTTGCATAAGAAGAAGGGATTATAAAAGGTAAGTCTTCGAGATGAAAGAATGGGAAAACTTATTCCATTATTTCTTGTAAACGAGCTGCTTATGATGCATTCTTTCTTTTGAGCGTATTTATAATACAGATTTGCATATCTTTGATAGTCATTTGTCATTAAAAGAATGCTTTTTGTTTTGGGATTTCGCTGCCATTATATAAGGACGGGGTTCTGACATCAAATCATAGCCATTTCATGCTTTCTATAGTTATATACTTGCCTCTCACAGCAAGCAATCACTTTTGCTTCTTTCCCAATCATCGTATTCATATAGTTTTCAGTGCCCAGAGGGCTACGGAAAACATTTTGTTTTGAAGAAATATGGTAGGGACTTTGTCTTTCAAATTATTGGGGTTCATATTTTGCCTCAAAAAGGAAGCAGAAAAATTCACTTTCACATCAAAGTAATTGGTGTTGTTATTTTAAGAAGGAATTTGCGCTATAAAATAATGCTCTTTTATAAGCATGCTTGCTAGGTACACAGTACCAATGTATTTTTAATTTCAATGTTAAAAAGTAATTGCACGTTGTAAAAGCTGCTAATTAAAAGCTGGTAAAGCTGATTGTATAGTGATACCAGCATGCGTAAAAACATTGCGACACAGATTTCCAGATTTTTTGGTTTGTTTCGAATAACTTACACAGTCTAGTAGGATGTCTTTACAGTGACTCTACATGTAAAGTATTCAGTGGATTGTTTACATTGTAGACCTAGGTTGAAGCCCGCTCTACACAGTGGTACCTAATAGTCGGTAAAAGACTCCGTAGGAAGAGGAATTCTAAAAATCAAACAGTGATAAATACTTTTGGTACAAGGGCAAAACGAGCGAAGCACACCAAGGCTGCTACGAATCTCCGGAATAATTTGAGACACTTTTCACACTTCAAACGTAACAGCAGCCACAATCCCGAGGAAAAAAATTTGTGCAGAGCCAATTCAAATATAAAATCTATTCTCATGACATCATTGCGAAATCTATAAAGGAAAGTATTTGCATGATTTCATGTGCGTGCAATGGATATGAAGATATAAAAATTATGCCATATTGTGCCGCGGTCGTCTTATACGAAATCGCACCATCAAACCTAAGGCCTAAGGCATACCTCACGCGATTTTAGTCGCCGCGCGATTTGGCACTGCAACGACTCTCCATAGCTGGTCGTAAACGCACTTTGCCTAGGCCAGACTTGCTGTGTTTGTTACAATTTACGGAATCTACGCATCCATGCATCTGAGAGCCTCGCATGCTCAATTTCTATACATCTGGCAAATCGCCAAGTAGCGAGGATGTGGCGATTTCGCGAAATCGCGAGAGGTTTGCCTTAAGCCTAAGGCCATAGGCTGCTTTCCGCTGTGACATCCTTGGTTTTTGCACTCATTGTAAAGTATGCTTATTATCCGCCATCAAGCCATCTCTACAGATTCATGCAAATCTTAGCAGTAGCCTCATGGAGTCAGAAGGATGCGACGTCTTGATACAAGGCATCTAGACACACGTTTTGTCGTTCCACGGCCTTTTCATGTCCTCTGATTCCGAATATGAACACGAAAATCAGCGAAAACATCGACATTCTCCGTTCAAAGTAGCCCGCGAGGCGCTACCGAACCGTGATTGGCTGGGCGAGCAAGATGGGCGGGCATTACTGAAGGGGCGGTGCTGACTTGGGGTCCTTGTGCCTCTTCGCTATACCAAAGCGAAAATTTACGCCGCGACTGGGCATTTGTTTGATAGGGAATCCGGGTGGAGGAACGAACACCTCAATTAGGCACGTCTCCGCGGACTACTGGTCCCAACACGATGCACAACAGTAGGACGAAAAGGACCAGCAGCCCGCGGATTCGGTGCCTAATTGAGGCGTTCGTTCCTCTACTCAGGGAATCCTACTACCGTATGCTGCCAAAAGCTCAAGATCGCTGAGATGGAGTAGACTGTGCCTTTGAGCGGTTTGGTAAATTGGGAGAGAAAAGCTAGCAAGAGTTCTTAAATCTAGGCGGTTGGAAGTTATGTTTTTGCCAAAGGAAGACAGATTTCGAGGATGGACTGCAAACTAGAGAAGAAGAGGGAATATTGGTTTGGGAAAGGGGGCTTTCAGGAAAACTTTGGGGGGGGGGGGAAGCAGAAAAAAGACTTTTCATAACTGAATTTACTTAGTCACTTCCATTAGGCCAATGAAGGAAGAAGCACGCAGAGGCCTCGCAATCAGTTATTTTTGTATAAACAGGAAAACACAACTAGGCGTAAATAAGTAATCTTTCAAAAAATTGTCAGTTGAGAGAACGAATTGAGCTGTAGGTATGGTGCTTTAAGCTCGATTTTCTTCTTTATATATAGAGCTAAATGTCTGTTCGTTTGCGTGAGGTCTGTATGTGTATCTGTAGGTATGTTCCGACCAATAGATCTGATTTGGGCCAAACTTTGCACAAATACACTTTGGGGGGCGGCCAGTGTCGTAGACTACTTGGTTTTCAAGAGTATTCTGTCCTACTCGCATTCACACTTGGAAATACCATAATGCAATATTTATATATCTGGGATTGTCATTTAGTAAGAAATCGCACAGAAAATAAAGTTTCAGACACAGAAAAGGCCGTGGTCAACTTTCGTCAAGATGCTAATCATAATCGCGGTACGTTTGTCTTCTTTTTTGATTTCTATAAAATGGCATCTTGTTTGTTTTCAGGCGTTGATAGCGCAACATATATCTCCAACTCAAGGTAAGCTGCTTGGAAATCTTCAAGCGCACATTGTCAACCGAGCACGACAAACGATTCAGGAGAGTGCTATAACGAAAAAATTGAAGACAGTGTGACAGAGTTTCATAATGAGTTGAGAAGGGATTTTGCTACCAAAAATATGAACTCGAAATACGGAGACATACCAGGCTCAAAAAGTTTGTTCAAATTGGTAAGTGATTCAGTAAACATCAAACGATGTTAAACAGCGGTAAGGATGCGTGCATACTTGCATGTGCCAACGCCGTTACAGTGCTGTGCCAGCGCGGTTACAGTGTTGTGCTAATGCAGATGGTCGAGTTGTAAAAACAGAGCGCGTTTGTATGGGTTTCAGCACGGTGCCAGCACACCATTAGCACAGTGCTGTCATGGCGTTGGAACGGCGCTGGCCAAACCTGACAAGCCGGAACCTCTTGGCCTGTCTAGGCACTGGGAATAAAGGAATGGACTACCCTTCAATTCAACTGGCTTGGCGGCTCGAAGGCGAAGTTTCGTGACCTAAATAATTTAGCTAATGATCAAAGAGCACGCGCACGGGAGAGACGCAGACTGCGTTGCGGGCGCGAGCGGCCTTAATTAAGTCACAAAGCCCCGTCTCCCTGCCGCCGAGCCTGTTGAATCGGAGGTTAAGTAAATCACTGTGTGGATTTCGAAGGCATAGCTGTCTTATTATGATTAGTGATCAAGCCGAGAGTTTTGCACGAAAAGAGCAATCGATAATTTTGGAAAGAAGTTGCAATGATTTTTCAAAGAAATCTTCGCCTACTTGCAGAAAAAACTATTTCTGAATTTTTAATTATATAATGTTCCCTTCTTTGATGTGCATCAGATTCATAGACTCCGCTTGTCCATTGGAATGACTATTTTGCTCCTCCTTCTCCCTGCTGCTATTCTTTTTTTTTTTTTGAAAAAACGCTAACAATTGCAGAAATATGGCTGCGGTTTGGCTGCTCTTGCCGGAGCTCTTATACCCAAAGATTGCAGTAAACAAGCTCGTGACCTCTCTCCATTGGGAGTGAGCAGTAATTTCAGAAAGTATGTTTGAAACAAACAGGAGCAATTTTTTTGGACGTTCGCAAATGATTCTTTCAGGTTCCGTACCGTCACAGAAATTCAAGGAGATGATATTATCGAATATTATAATGTGGCCGTTGAAGAATGGGCAACGAAGAATATCGTTCTGCTTGAATCTGATGTGATCTACAAGGATAAAAGCATGGAAGCTTTTGCTAATGTGAGATACCCAATGTTACGTCGTTAAGAAAATGAGCATGAGAGGTGGCGGTGATGTTTGAAGTCGTAGGTATACTTGAAGGCAGCGTCCGGGCAGATACGAAAATGTAGAGTACAAAAGCGCCCGCCTGGTAAGGCTCTTGCCCAACTGGTAATGCACAAATCTGCTTCTGAAGTGAGAAACCCGCTTCAGAAGTGGCGACAGGAACGCCACGGCGACCTGGATGAGTTAGTCCGATAAGCCAGAGTGCGCATACCGCACACAGTCAAGATGTAGGGTCCCACAAAGACTCTGCGTCTTAACCTTGGCGGCAGGCGACAAAATTCAAATCAAGAGCTTCTGGAAAAGCCCGTTTTCGGCGTTTGTGCTCTCCAAGCCGCATTTTCGGAATCAGCGGGAGGAACAAGTCCAATTAAGCGAAAAAATTCCATTCGGAATTTCCCGGACGCTGCCTTTAAACGACATTTCCACATGATGTTTTCGGGTAAGATAGGGGGAGGGTTACATAATGGCTAGTTTAAAGGGAAGAATGACTTGATAATAGTCAGAGTTGCCACTGTACCGATGCTGTATTAGCGCCATCAAAATGCCGTGCCAACACCGCGCTGGCATCCACAAGGCGCGCCTCTCGGGCACTCCGGCACGGCGCCAGTACGGCAGTGGAACCGAGCCGGAACTGCGCCAGCACGGGCAACTATGAATGTAGGCCCAATGCTATCAAGCAGCTGTAGCTTTTCCAACTTAGCAATTTTTGCATGAAATTGTGGAGTAATATTTGAGAGCTCCCAAAGATTTTTCTGAAGTGATAAAAATTTCAGATGATATATTACAAGTCTATAGCCTTTGGATGCGCGCACAAGAGTTGCAAAAATGATGATAGTGCTACTTCCTTTACGATCGCATGTGTGTACGGATCAGCGCAAGTTATATCAAATTTAATCCACTTTTTATCAAAGATTAGCACAATTGTGAAGATTACCTAACTGTCTGCTACAGCTGCTGCTATTCTCGCTTTTTTAGCCCAAAAATTGGTGAGCCGCTCTATATACCGAATCCGAAACCGAAAAATAAGAAAGGATGCACGGCACATAAAACTTGCAAAGAAGTTGTATCCGATGGTAGATGCATGACAAATGAAGAAAATACCCTAGGACCTCTTTGTGAATCCAGTCTAACCGAAGTAGACGGTAAGTTCCACCACGACCCTTTGCTATTACTTCATTAAAATTTCATATCCGCCCAAAATGTAATTGATTTAATTTTGCGAATTCTTAGGGCTCATAAGGCCTCATGTCATCGCCCGGCTCATTTCCCATGAATCGGTCGCGAGCTGATCTCCCTGCCGGGCTTCATCTGAATCTTACCTGTCAGGTGACCCTGCATGCGTATAGCATGAAAAAGTGGGCAGTCCTCATTTCACCTGACGAAGCCTCATATGAAGGCCTCAGGGGAGATCATCTCCCTTGACCGAGCTTTACTACGGGCCTAAGTTAGATGCGATTTATTGCACACAAAGATAGGACGTCGCTATGCCATCGGCATCTCCTTGATCAAGCGCTCTTTCACTCCTCTCACCGTCTGCTGTCTTTTTCATGTTTTCACTATCTAACTGTAAGTAGGACGCAATCGCGTCCACTCTTTGCGTGTGACGGCTCACTTACGCAACCAATTTTCACCCTCACCTTTGTCTGTTGATTCTTTTACTGTTTCGGAATCCACACAGTTTGACTATTTTGACTGAAAAATGCTGATAAGGACATACAGTGACGCAACTTTTCTCTCACTGTAGTATTACGGTAAGGAGTCCTAGCAGAATGGCGTCTTTGCAAATTTATTGCAATTTTAGCAATGTTTCAAAATACTTACTTCTGTAGTGGGATTTTTAAGGCGCTGATTTTAGCCAATATGTGCAGATTTGCAAAGCAGATGGTGTGGTCAGGTTTTGAAAGAGGTTTGAAAATTTTCTAGGTGCACCTGGGCTAACTTGGAGTAAAGGTTACGCTATCTTAATGCTTATTGAGATTAGCAACATCCATTTTTGATGATAAAGTTTCAGTTTTTCGGATTTTTGGGACGATCTTGAACCCTGCAAAACCTTTTAGGATTTCCGATCGCAATCCTACTGTAAGGAACGATCAATAGTTCGCTCAAAGATATGCAAACCTAAATTGAACCAGCCGTTAAGAAGCGTATAGCTAAAAATCAGCGATCAAACATTGAGGACTCTTTTTTTGGCACCCTTTACTGTTTAAATATTTCACATAATATTAATAAATTCATTATTTCAGTTGCAACAACATCGTCTACAGCCTCGACGCAATCTACGAGCACTACTCTGACTCCGACTACCACTACAACTCCGACAACAACCACTTCAGCTACAGAAACTACGACAACAACCACTTCAACTACACCAACTACAACAACAACCACTTCAACTACACCAACTACGACAACAACCACTTCTACTACACCAACTACGACAACAACCACTCCAACCACTGGAATGACTCAAGAAATGCGAGACAAAGTTATTCAGATGATAAACTATCGCAGGTACGAGCATTAGAGCGCATTTGAAGATAAAGGTGGGGGGGGGGGACGAGTTGAGCAAACCAAAAACGTGTAGCTGAGATAAATCATGATGTAGGAAAGTAAGTTAGCACACTTCTATCGCAGCGATCTTTGCTAGGCAGTGCCGTATGCAGTTCTTGGACTGTCCGGATTTCTGCGTCGATGCTGTGCCAGCGCCATCCCAGCGCCGTGCCGGGATATGCGTACCCGTGCTAATCGATCGCCGTTGCGGCCTAGCACTAACACGGCAACTTTGGAGATGCTTTCAAATGTCTTTCTTCCCTGTGCTATGGCTTCATCAATAGAGTTTTTATAATCAACTGAACATACTCCTTTGCGAGCATTCATTGTGAAATAACCACATTTTAGTTTTCTCTCAGAGTTTTCTCTCTCTTCATTCTGAGAAGTTTGACATTCTTTCAACCCAGGTCGCAACTGGCAAAGGGGCTCGTTAGAAATGGAATCGAAGGAAATCCAAATTGCGCCCAAGCTACAAATATGTATCAGATGGTGAGTGGCTGGATTTTGTAGACGTAAAGGAATAGAGTAGACGAAAAGAATTGTCCAGTTACAAACTTGCTATCGTCATAACATCGACCGCGCGGACTGGCCGTAAATTGCGGAGTTCCCGCGGCGCGGCTTGAAAGTCACGGGAGCGCGACTTGCATAATAATTTGTAATGATATTTGACCATGCGACGCGTGCTCCGCAATCTACGACTAGTCCGCGAGGTCAACGACTCGAGAGTAATTCTGCAAACAATGAAACCTTTCTGAGATACGATATGACCTTAGAAGCAGAAGCGCAAGCGGTTGCTGACACTTGCCAGGACATCGCATCCGGGGTGGCAACAACTTCTGGTCAAAATGCTTACGTAATGTCAACCGTAACACTACCGCTTTATGATGTCCTTGTGGAGGTGAGACAGACCGAGCAGAATCATAATCAAATTAAAGCTTTGATTTTCAGACGCAAAAAGTGTGGTGGTCACAAATAACTAAAAATGGCATAAATGCTCAAATGCACTATACGCAGTTTCTGGAAACAAAACCGCTGTCTCCTAGCGCTTTCACTCAGGTACATATAATCATCTCATAAGAGAAAATATACAAAAAGCTTTTTTATGCACTACTAGCTGGCTTGCCCGGCTCCGCCGGGCCTGCCAGCTAGACCCGTGTACGTATGTTCCGAATAGAATTGGGACCGAACTTTGCACACATACACTTCGGGGCACGGAGCTTGTCACAGTCCACTTTTCGTTATCGATCGATGTCGATTTTACCGATTTTTTGCAAAATTTGAGCTAGGGGGCTAGGATTTTGCACAGGGGGGTAATCGAGCATGCTGATCACCCCCTTCGGGGTGATCAGCATGCTCGATTACCCCCCTCTGCCAAATCCCAGCCCTCTAGCTCGAATTTTGCAAAAAATCAATAAAATCGATATCGATCGATAACGAAAAGTAGCCTATGACACGCTCCCTGCCCCGAAGTATATGTGTGCCAAGTTTGGTCCCGATCGGTTCAGAAATAAAAATTTCTATTCCGCACATACGTACAGACAGACATACATACATACATACAGACAGACAGACATTCAGCTTTATATATAAGATTGTGCCTCAGCAATTGTCCGGAGAACATATCGCTTTCAAAGCTTACTTCTGGCGCCGATTTTGATTTCGAGGTTTAAGAATTGTTGAAAAGCAGGTCATGGAAATTATGTTGATCGCCTTAAGTAGCAAAAACTTCGTCGACTTCTTTTGCACGATTCAAAATTTGCTAAATTGAAGGTCACTGCCGGACGAAGGCGCAAGAGCAGTAGTAGTTGAGCGGCATGAAGGCGGCGCATGCGTATCTTCTCTTGGACTGTGACTTCATGCGCTTTGCGGAATAATGCCTTCACGCCCATAGGTTTTGCGCCTTCGTCCGGCACTACCCTATAGCTCCTTCGATGAAATGAATCAAATCTTTTTAAGTGATTAAGGTTTTTTCCATTGTATTTCATTTATCGCAGATGGCCTGGGCTGGATCCTACAAAGTCGGTTGCGGTATAAAACGCTGCAGTTTCGGCACTAGCAGGGCTCGGCACAAGCTGGCACCAAGGAAATTGTAAAACGAAGTCCCCTTTGATCTCAAAAGTTTCCTACGAAGTCCCCTTTGACGTGTTTCGCATTTGCGTAGGGCGCGCTTTGTGATTGGAGCAGATTTTCAACTGCGAAGCAGACGGAGAAATTTTTAGATGGCTATAAAACGCCGAAAAAAAAACATTATGAAATTGTTTTTGCTCTGTATGTAAACTTTTACAATGCAGATACAATTCATGTAAAAAAGTATGAAAAATTATGTGAGCAAAGGGTCGGTGCCAGCTCAGCTGGCACCCAGCTGGCACGGTGCCAGCTAATTCAGAAAAAAGTTCGGCACAGTTTTCATTCACATAAGTTTTCATAAATTT